CCTTGTCCCCTCCTTGTCACCCCCGTGCCCCCGTCACCCCCGTGCCCAGCTCTCACCAGAAGAAAAACCCCTCCAAGACGCTCTGAGGCTTCAGCCCGCGGGTGTCCAGGGTGGGCACCGGGGCCGGGTGGGCGCAGAAGACGGGTTCCCCGGGGTGGATGGTGGGGAGGAATCGGGATGTCACGGTGTGACGGGCCAGGAAACCCCTGGGGGGGCAAAAAAAGGTGGCATGGAGTGGGGAGGGGGCACCGTGCAGACCCCCCCTATCCAGGGCATGGCTGGCATGGCTACCTGTTATCCTTGGAAAGCTCCGTGTCCTCCTCCAGGGATTTCCAGGGATTGTTGTTGTCCACGTGGACCCGCGACAGGTCGGGGTGCTGCGTGGCTGCCTGGCTCTGCTCCCTGCCACAGGGGTGGGTGAGGGCACGGGGAGGGCACCCCAAAATGTCCCCGTGCCCTAAGTTGGGGGTTCCATCCTTACCTCTTCTCCTGGACTGGTGATTCCAGGCTGTTGGCAAGCGGATCTGCCCGTGGGCAACCGACCTGGGCGACAAATCAAGGGGATGATGATGCTTTAGGGGGGGAAACCACAGCACCCGGGTGGGCACTGGGGTACCCCCTCCCCTGAGCACCCACCTGGTGGTCCACAGGGCTTGGGGGCTCGTCCCCAGCCACCAGCACGTCCCTCAGTCGGGTCAGGTCATCGTCCTCGCTGTCTGTGGAGGACACCCACCCCGTCGCCGTGCCCAGCAGGTGCCCCCCAGACTCGTTGCCCTCCTGCTGTGGCACCGTTGCCCCCTGCCCGGCTGTGGTGTGTTGCCCAATGTTGGCATCACCCCCCAGGGACCCCGTAACTGGCACCGGTGTCACCGGGACAGGGCTGGAAGTGTCCGGTGTCACCTGGCACGGTGGGGAGTCCCGGTCGGCCCCATCCCGCCGGATGGCACGGGGAGGAGTGGGGCCAGGAGGCTGCCGGCTTCTGCTCACCCGTTTCTTGGTGCCAGGGGAGTCCTTGTGGCGCCGGGGGGCTGTGGGGACAGCAAAAAGGGTCACCAGAGCCTCCCCTGGGGCACAGGGAGGGCTGCGGGGACAACACAAAGGGGAACAGCCCCCCAACTTGGGGCATAGGGGCTGTGGGGACAACACAGGGGGGACCAGGGCCCTCTTTGGGGTGCCAGGGGACAACACAAGGGTGAAGAGGAGTCCTTCTTCTTGGGGTGCCAAGGGACTGTGGGGACAAAGCAGGAGTCACCAGGGACCCCTTGGGGCATGGGGGCTCTGGGGACAACACAGGGGTGACCAGGGCCCTCTTTGGGGTGCCAGTGAGCTGTGACGGACAAAGCAGGGGTGACCAGGGGACCCCTTGGGGCATGGGGGCTGTGGGGACAACACAGGGGTGACCAGGGACCTCTTTGGGGTGCCAGGGGACTCTGGGGACAACACAAGGGTAACCAGAGCCCTTCCTGGGGTGCCAAGGGACTCTGGGGACAAGGCAGGGGTGACTGGGGGCTCCCCTGGGACATGGGGAGGGTCTTGGGGACAACACAGGGGTGATCAGGGGACCCCTTGGGGCATGGGGGCTGTGGGGACAACACAGGGGAGAACAGGGGTCCTTCTTCTTGGGGTGCCAGGGGACGCTGGGGACAACACAGGGGTGACCAGGGCCCTCTTTGGGGTGCCAGGGAACTGTGGGGGACAACTCAGGGGGGACCAGGGGACCCCTTGGGGCAGGGGGGCTGTGGGGACAACACAACGGTGACCAGGGGTTCTTCTTCTTGGGGTGCCAGGGGACTGTGGGGGACAAGGCAGGGGTGATTTGGGGCTCCCTTGGGGCATGGGGAGGGTCTTGGGGACAACTCAGGGGTGACCAGGGGACCCCTTGGGGCATGGGGGCTGTGGGGACAGCAAAAAGGGTCACCAGAGCCTCCCTTGGGGCACAGGGAGGGCTGCGGGGACAACACAGAGGGGAACAGCCCCCCAACTTGGGTCATAGGGGCTGTGGGGACAACACAGCACAGGGGGGATCAGGGCTCTCTTTGGGGTGCCAGGGGACTGTGGGGGATAACTCAGGGGGGAGC